ACTCTAGACTCAAGCCTCTTGGCGGCTCGAGCCTGGCTCGAGTCCTCGAGTCTAGGTGCGACCTGGGCTCGAGCCCTCGAGTCCACGGGTGCCACGAGCCGAGCCGGCTCGAGTCCAGGTCTGGACTCGGCTCGAGCCGGCTTGTGAACAACACTAGGTCTGGCTTTGTAGCATATTTGGCAGAGCGGGGTTCCCTGGAGTATATGCTTCGATCGCCTTTTCCACCTGAATGAGTGCCTCGTTGAGGTCGGCCAAGTTACCTAGACGCTCATATATTCTGTACGAATCCCCACCCGGGAATCTGTACCGATCGTATACACTCTTTAGCTGACGCCGCATAGTGAGGATGCTGCAGCATGCGGTTGCATAGTCGACCATGTTCCCTGGTGTTTTATCCATTCCATCCATTTTCCACACCCATGCCATGTCGAGATCGCTTTCATCTCCTGTATGCTGGTATTTGTTCCCCTGCATTTTGCACAGCTTTGCCGACAGGGCCGCTCGATTGGGATGGCAGGGGTCCGTGCTTTCAATTTTGCTTTCGGCTAGTGCAATTGCCCGATTGAGGAACCCTATGTCGAGGGTTTTCTCGTATTGAGAAAAGAGTGCATCACTAGCTTCCATCGTCCCACCCAGATCTTCCTGCCACCCAGTAACCTCGGGATCATTGCCCGATGTTCCACTCTTATAACCTCCCACATTCCTCCTGAGATGAGGGAATGATCCTTGATTACTAACTAGGATTCAATTAGTATAACCCAAGACAGAGATTAAACTTGCTGAATACCTATGGTAGCTTTAAAAGCGACTAGACTTCGGAATACCTTATGACACCCGAGTAATCCTATCCCCGGGTTTCCACGGGAAAAGAATCCTCCTGGTTCAACGCGACGTTGACGCAATGTGTTGGCCCCTCGGCCTCTCGGTTTAAGTTCCTGTTCTTGAATGCGCGTGTGCAGAGTTCTCATATTGGAAAACAACAAAATCAGTGAATGGCTTCCTGAGCAAAGTTATTTGGCACCTATCTCACCTGTGTTGGCGGTTCCGTATACCTTTCTCTGTTGGGGCTACTTTGTCGCCCAGCTTTCTTCCCCTCTCCCTTATTCGCGCTTCTCTGGGAGGTAAATTTAGGGTTTGTTTGCGGGAATCATTGTATTGTGGCAGGGAGTTCGGGATGAGTTGGTGAGCGGTGAGGTACGAGGAGTTCAAGCACTGCGAGGGGTCCGGGTAGTGTGGTATATAGAGCTCGACCAGCTTCTTATGTATGAATTGGCAACCAGGACATGTCTGGGGTATGAGTCAGGTTTGGCCCCTCGAGTTTCCTACAGTATTTGTGCACCTGGCTGTGCCCGCATGTTTCGGGTCAGCCTCGTACAGTGCACATCGTTTTCCTCTTCACAAATGTACTGCACCACCAATGGTGCCTCGTTCCGTATTCTCACGCTAGTCATGTGCTAGCCGCAAAGCAAACTACTTGCCAAGTAGCCGACCTTCCAGCATCCTTTTCTGAGTCTAGAATACTCCGAGCGAAACCTCTTCTGAAGGGGCTGGATCTGCGATGGAAATGCATGAGTATTTTCCCCTACACTGATTCGACAGTGGATGTTTGAATATTTATTAGAGCCGCGTCTCCCAGCTCCAATGCAGCTCAGCCACTTGACGTGGGGTCTCGTTCCTACTACAGTAAATCATATGAACGACCGCAAAGGGGAAGAAATCCAGGAATTTTTCACCCGTTGAAGCTTTTGTTATTCAGTTGGCGCAAGTGATCCAACACGCAGAGATGCAGTAACTTCTATTGGGATGGCAGTTTAGGCGGTGTGATGATCCAACTCTGCCTTCCTAGCGACAGCCTAGCAATGAACCCCGCCCTAGGCGAGAAGGTAAAATGCCGTTTCCGGGCTGTATAGTACCGGCACCTGTGTACTCGAGTACCTGGAGCTAAATACGGAGAAGGTATGATGGAACTAACTGCCCATGATATCACCCCATATTGGTATGGATAAGGAATTCCGTCTGATCCTCTTCTGAAGACTGTTACAAGGTCTTCACGGAATTCTACCTGGATGGGTAGAGGGTTCTTCGAGCGAGGGGGGTTGGCTTGGCATGAAAACTCTAGGCATGGAGGCTTAGAATAACCCCCACCTCTGCCCTGCTGTAAATTTAGATCCTGTCAGCTCTCAGGCACAGGACAATTCCCCATGGAGGGAAACGAAAAAATCGGAATATTTAGGGATTATGGCGATCGATAGATTAAGCCAATTTTTCAAAGCCAAACCACATATATTAAAGAGAACTAGGTAAGAAAGAACAAAGTAGACCCATGATGAAGAACGCCAAAAGAAATACAAAACTATTATCTCCTAGCTGATACCAGGTTTGCTTGTTCCACTGCCGGAGGCTTTGGTGCTGGTGCCGCTACCCTTGCCAGGGGAGATTGTTACCGCCGATATATCCCGTGTGACAATGAGGGTGCATGGAAGTCGAGTATGGGTGGCGGGTGGGCAACAAAGAACGCGAGGTGTGGAAAGCGAGGAAGCATGGTGATCTCATGGTCTGGGGAGCTGGAAGAGGTATATGTAGGGGGGTTCACGGACCCTCCCTGTGTGAGCTAGGACCCCGCGCTGGCCGAGCAACCAGCTATACCTTTTTCCGCTATCCTCCGAGGTGCAGTCCCCATACCCCGAGCACTATTCCGTGCGCTTTGTCCAATTGGCAATGGGTTGTGCCAACCCGCCATGTAGTGGAAAGAAGCACACCATTGCATAAATTAGAAACCTAGACTGCAATTGTTGCAGCCAAATCTACTTTCTCGGAAGCCCGAATTTCAGAGATTCCGAAGTCCGAAGGGCCTCCGGGTGCTCGTGGCGAATCGCAAAGCTTCGTATCGTACCGAGGCTAATTTTCAGCCGCCGCTACCATATCTCGGCGGTAGACATTGTGTTTTTTCACCCCCGGGTTTTTTTGTATCCACCAGAACTCATTATGTTCTATTTCTACTCGCTATCTGCTCACTACCCTATGATCCTGCCCATCTTTCTTTCCCCGGTTTTTCATCCTTGCCCAGTACTCGAACTGGGGGCCAAACTCGCCCTGGTACAGTACACCTCAGCCATTGGACGATGGCGTGAGCACTGCTTCTACCTTGGAAGGTCTGTGCAATGCTTTTTCGAGGAGCGTGGTTGGAGCAAGGGTCAAGGCTCTTGGCTTAGAAATGAGATAGACCACGGCAAGGGGGCGTGGCTATATGTATCAAATCCTTCTCTCTTGCTAGATCTTCTTCTCTTGACCACACAATACATGTTATTCATCGATGGCCCGGTTCGCAATTTCCTGGAAAATTTAATGCATTATACTACACCGCACCGCGCCCCGTTATGCGCCTTGCTGTGCGCCGCACATGGTGAACCCAGCCTCCAGCCCACTCTCCCCTGAGTGGCCAGGTCTGACGGGTAGAGGACGACGGAAGTAGCTATCGGACTGGGGTAAATGGGAAGTAAGTTTGCGTATTCCATCAAAGGTTCCTGCCATTCACTGCAATCAATTTCATATACTGGCTGCACTCATCTTCCGGTCTTGATTGCAATTCAGGGCTCTGGCATTGATGGGCGTTTGCAAGGGCCAACCTTTTTGTACGATATATAGGTTGGTGGGGCACAGCGGATCTAATCCTTGATGATTCGAACAACACGAGAGGTTTATTGGTACGAGCGAATAGAAATATCAAGAAGAATTTGAAGAAGGAAAGGTATATGAAACGAATGACTGAACCATGATAGAAAACGACGTGAAGGAAACTCGGCTTGTTAACTTAAGGACAAAAGGAACGAGAAGAACCAGCTTCTTTATATACTTTCCATCACAGAGTATCCACCCATTTCTTCTCCTACCAAGTCTCCTATCCAATTCCAATAGTATTGCGATACACCCGTGCTTATCCATATCATACCCGAGGCAAAAGATGAGTAGCTGTGGGTATACTGAACTGATGTGCCGAGGGTGGAAGAGTAGGGCCGAGGACCATAAGGTTCTCCGGTCATGATTGCCCTTACTGCGTTTCGTCGGGAGACAAGTGGATGTTTGACTTGGATGTGGTTGATATGCAGGTAGTGGTTCGAGATGTGTCTGAGGCTAAGGTGGTGAAACAATCAGGAACCACTAGTTGTAGTTGTGTCGCACATTGGTGAACTATGGCTATAGAAGTGGTGAGCAGTTCAAAAGGAAAAACGTAAAAGTCTAACAAACCTATCATACCGTCCACTGTTTTTAGGCTGGGATTTTACTATGATGGTGGGGAGGAAATGGCCATACTGGGAATAACAAACTCTAGTGGATCTGGCTCCGGGATATCCCACTCGACTTCCTTTGGTAGCAGAGACAAAGTTTCAGGTTCGTATTAATTTTTGATGCTTTTTTTTCTTCCCCCCTTCCGTAGCATGCACTCCTACGGGGACTGGGATTACTCCAGGTAACTGAAACTGAAGCGAACTTTTCTCCCTCGAGCTGTGAACTCAGATGTGGGTCCTGGGGATGAGGCGAT